TGAGTATTTTGAATAGGTAGTCTCCTTTTACTCAGCAGTGTATACAGACCGTGTCATTAGAAGCTAAAATGATGTTAGCCTTAAAGGATTTAACATCTTTCTTACTTGAAGTAAATGTTTACAGCTGTTTCTTTCTTAGTGGCCAGTGTTTCATATGTGAAGTCACTGGGGAGACTGCTGTTTAAATATTTAAAGTGGGGTATGATTCAGGGGAAGGTGGGATTAAAACTGGGACGTACGTACTTGGCTCAACCAAGAGAGAGGCAGCTTGTGTGAGCAGTTATGAATGGGCAGATGTGTGTGCGATGAGGCAGCCGGTGAGTCAGAACTGAGCCTCTTCTGAAAGAATGCGTTTTGCTCCAGCGTGCTGGGAAAATGAAAACAGAAGGGAGGGGATTGCACCACTGCACTGGGGACTGGTCTTTCCTGGGGGGGGTGCAGTTGGTCCCGGCGGTGGCGGCTGTTGGGAGCCTGCTGATTCATTAGTGGGTGGCAAGAACTGTGTGCAGTCTCTGGGGGAGGAAATGGCTTGGTTGCTTTAGGGAGAAGGAGCATTTTCTGTAACTGCAGGATGTGTGGATGGAGCATGCAGATAGCATATCTGTAGCGCATCAGTTAAATACCCTGGTGCTTTCAGATAAGGATTTACTAGAGGACTAAAATAGGATGTGAAACTGAGGTTTTGTGTCTTATGCTCAAGTAAAGCAGCTTTTTTTTAAAAAGTCATTGAGAATTGTCCTCTATCTGCTCTACTATATTCAAATTGAGTTTGGTTTTTAAAATATGAACGAACAGTGTTACAGAAGCCAAGTCCCTGCCTATTTTTAACAACTAAGCTAACTCCCAGTTAGTTGGAGGAAAGGGTCACTCCGTTAAATGCAGACGAAAAGAAATAACAGATTAGTTGCAAGTACAAAAAGGAAGGTGAGAGACACTATATTGGAGGTGTGGCACAGAGGTGTTGGAGATCAAGCCAGCTGCTAGGCTGAGAAAGCACAAACACAGCTCAACAACTTGGATCCTAATGTATCTGTGCAGCACCTTCTCAAGTTTACGTGTGTTTATGGTGCTGTTCATCCTCCATCCTGATAATCTGCTAGGAGATAAGAGTGTTTGCTCTTGCTGGTTGTTCAGTCAGCAAGCGGATTATTTGTTCTAATGCTAAAAGCCTGTTTCCAGTGTGAAGGTAACATGTTTACTTTTCTTGTTTAAAAACTTCTAATGCTACTTTGATTTGTAGTAGGAGCTTGAAATGGAAGATGTAATTTGAAGTGAAATGGAACTTTTGCAAAACAGCCACCCAAATAAAAATTCAGCTGCTATAAGCTAGTAAAAAATGCAGGTTTCAGTACGAGACAGTTTACCTAGGGCTCGAAATCTAACAAACTAATTAGCAGTGTGTGGAAAATGAGGATGCAAAATGTGAGAGAACTTATTTTCCTCCTTCTATATGTGTATAATAATGCTTAACTTAGCTACACAACCATCTACTGTCGCTGTCAAAACAGCCATACTTCATTTGGTTCATAGGATGGACCGTACCCTGAAAGGAGACAACTGTATAATGTATCTTTTCCTCTTGTATGTCCCTAAATTTGTCGATTGGTAATTGCCTGACTTTCACCCCCTTATTCTTCCTACCACTGTCCAGTGCTTTTCCCCTCAGTGTCTGAGTTTTACAAAACTGACTTCAGATACTATTATGAAAAGCACCCAGGAGTGTGTATGGGACTTAGAAAATTATATAAATGCCATTAATCTGGGGTTAGGAACAAAACCTCAAAATAGTTATTTTAACAAAGACATCCTTCTACCGTCTTTTAAACAAATTGTGTAGCTCAGTAATAATAAGGGGGGACGTTGGGGTCTTTATAGAAATAATGTGGCTTTTGCCTTTGCTGTCTTCCTGTGACTGTCTTAAGGCAACTTTCAGAATAGAGAATTCTGAAAGTTTTTAAAAGACAGCTTTGTGCTGCACTTTGAGGTGCCATGATAGATCATGTGCTCGTAGGCAAGAGCAGTAATTTATTAATAATTCTGTTAAGTTCGGAAATTGAAAGGGAACCAGCATGGCTTTATCTGAAAAGAGGGAAATATGTGGTTAAACGGTTTTGGCTACACTCTTAGGTGTTTTCCATTCTCCAGAAAGAGGAGGGGGGGAGGAAAGGAGTCTAAATTCCTTTCTCTAAAATAAAGGAAAAAGCACCAGTGTGCTTTATTGTGTGTTTTAATGAGAGAGAAAAGTTCCTGCATAAGCGCATGTGGTTTCAGTATGAATTGTACTAAATTTGAATGATTACACAGTAATTTCAAAACTCAAATATCTTGCTACGGAATTCATCCTCTCAGAGGTGAAAAATGTTCATTATCTGAGTTTTGATGTTGGTAGAATTGAAGACCTACTGAATCCAGCGGTGGAAGGCTTTAAGGGCTCTGATTCAGGAGCAAAGGCAGAGTACTTTATCTCAAAAGGTCAGGCTGCCTGCTTTGTCAGCAGCTCAGCTGTTGGCCCGTGTGCTTCGGGCAGATAGTAGGCATCAGTAATCACATCGCCTCTGTCAACTTGTTTCCCTTTCTCCCCTTTGGCTTCTGAAGGCTTTCACAGAGTTTCCAGCACCGCTCAGGCGCCCAGGTGATGGGTGAGGCGGCAGCTGCGTCTGAGCTACCTGCTCGTTGCACTGAGCTAAGGAGTTTGCACAGGATGCGCTGGCGGCTGCAGTCACCAAGGCAATCGAACAGCTGCTGGAACGAGGCAGTTCGTGGCAGCATAATATTCCCGCTCAAAGAAACAAAAAATACCCTCATTCAAGAGAACTTGAGAAGCTAGATTTTTGTCATCTGAGGGAAGTCCTATGTAACTTTTGATTTTCCAGGCTTTTGTTGTGGGCTAGAAGGAAGGGGGAGGCTAGGTGAAACGTAAACCCTAAATGAAAATCAGCAAAATGCTTGTTTGCTTCTGTAAAAAATAACTAGCATTAGATTACACACTGTTTCATCTTCACAGACCCATAGTTAGGTTATGCTGCTTTTTTTTTCCTTTTGAATTATTGTGCATTCTTTTTAGAAGAGGACTCTTGATTTTAATAGCCTCTTTAACTGTCTTTCACTTCTATATTAATTAAACCCATCTATTAAACTGATGGTGCGTACTGCGTTTGTTTCTTGTGAGATGAATGAGTGAAGACTGTGCTGAAAGGGAGTAATGTTGTATTTCTTATGTTTGAAATGATTAATCTTGAAATGAGGGCTGTGGGAGGTGGTTTCCTGGTAGTCCACATCTTACTCATGCTGGTTCTGACGCCTCTGCTCGCAAAGGCTGTTGGCCGATAGATCTGCACCCTGCATGCTGCGCTCTCGTCACGGAAGGCATAGGTGTGATGACTTGCACAGCTAGTCTGTGAGTACAAGGAGAGAAAAACCAGTCGGTGCTGCTCTTAGGGGAGACCCTGCAGTAGGAGAGCAGATGCAGAGAAGATATGCTTGAACTAACTTTTATTTCTTTGTTATTGAGCTGCATTGTACTAATTAAAACTCATAGGGTGTATCGCTTCATACTGAAGCGTGCTAAGTTGTAAAAATTAAGCTCAGAGATGAAATGTGTATTTCCTTTGGCAAGTAACACTAGGTGTTCGTCAGTTGGTTTCACATTATCTGTTCCCTCTCTTCCACTTGGGGACTACCTACCTTTCATGTCATTCAGGGCTTAATTCTTCCAGGACAGCCTTTGTCTAAGGCAGGCTTACCTTCCCTCTGCACCGCCTGTATCTCTTTGCCTTTCGGTTTTCTCCCTGAGTGACCCTAGCTGGTAAGTGCGGCACTGCGCAGGTAGGCACAGTTGGGGTGCTTTGAAATGTGTCGTAGCGCTAAATATCAATTATACTTTGAGGATTTGCCAGAGGATGCAGTTAGAGCTATTAAAGGAAGCGCTGTCTGAAAATTCCCCTACTTAGCTGGGCCACCCCTGAAGACCAAAGAGACTTAACAGGATTTTTGAATGTCTAGGCAGTGTTTAAATCTGAAGTGGGTGCAGGCCTGTGTGCATGGTTTGCCTCTCTGGCAATTCAGCATAGACAAACTTCTGTTCTGTGAGGGGTTTGACTTGCCAAGTAGGCTGAAATAACTACTGAAGGTTGGTTTTCTTCACAATTTAGGTAATTTTGCTGGTTTGTTTTTTTTTTCTTCCTTTCAGGCTGATGTCATGAAATACAGGGTGTCAAACTCATTTAGTGTTGTATTTGCTTCTTTTTAAATTTCCTGTGTGGAGATTAATCTTTGGTCTTTAGAAGGGGAAATACTTCTGCTTTAAATCACTGTATCATCTACCATTATCTAGATGTAGGGCCTTAAGCTCATGCATTATTCTTTGCTGCAGCTCAAGGTGCTGTGCACGTTGATGCTGTAGATGGGTTTAGATCATCTGGTGTTGGTTCTTTTGAAAAGCCTTTCACAAATGCTAGAATAGACACAGGAAGACTTTCTTATTTTTAGCATGGTGTGTATATAGTGTGGAGGACTGAAACTGATGCTTTTTCTTTGTTGAAAGAGCTCGTGTGTTGGGGGAAAATACGGTGCTGCTTGGGACTAAGAAAGCCTGTGTTCGTTTAACCATTTAAACGTGTTGTAAAGCATCTTCCCTGTCTGGCAGCATGCCGCTTTCTTTGCGACACGAACTAAGGTAAGCTGACAAGAAGAACAGTTACTTTAACTGAAAGCAGTAACAGAGTTCTAACCAAATCCTGGTGCACGCCAGTTTGGAAAATGAGAACACGGCTTAAATTTATTCCATGCAGTACAGTAGGCAAAAGTTACAGCACTCGCTTGATTAAAACGAGTTCTTGGAAAGGAGGCAGGAGAAGCTGTTAAGTGGAGTCTCGTGTTACCAGCTGGTTTGGATGTTCTTCTAAGAATACATATAGAGGCTTCCTGCATCAGTGTTTTCATTGTGCAGGCATGTGTGTAAATGCTTTCAAATTCATAGCATGTGTTTTGCTTTATTTCAGGTATACTTGAAGGCACCTATGATTCTCAATGGTGTCTGTGTAATCTGGAAAGGCTGGATAGATCTACAGAGACTGGATGGTATGGGCTGTCTGGAATTTGATGAAGAGAGAGCCCAGGTAAGACAGTCTGCCCATGGCTACTGTGCCTTAGGCATTTGTTTGCCCTTCTGGAAGGAAACACGCAGGTAGCGATCACGCATTCTAATTTGCTTGTTTTCTGTCTTCATTTTTTGAGTACAAATTCCAAAGAAAATTTAGACCACAGAAGTTCAGAAATACGTGGTTGTAGCTAAACTACTGTTTGAATTAGATCAAAATATTAGGGGCAGGAATCGTCTGTAGGTTACAACTTTGGGTGACTTAGCACAATTACTATGCTACAGAGTAGTAAATCTTAAAGTATTTGAAAAGCTATGTCTGTGACTTGAAACAATTTAACTGTCAAGTCTGGTTTAGCTGTTTGTTTTAAGGTGATTTTTCGTAAGCAGCTTTTTGTTTTATTACATATGGGGGGTGTGAATAGGGTTTTTCCATTTGTTCTCTTAACAGTGGTAGACGCTCTGTTAAGGTATGGCCGCTTTTGAGAAACCTACTTCTTATCTACCTACTTCCTACCACCAAAGTGACTGTCTAGCAGCTGAATCTTTGGACATGCACAAGAACAGAGTAAACACAGAGGAAATGACTTTTTAAGTGCATACCACGTATATAAGTTTCACTTACGCAGCTGTAGGGTTCCTTAATTTAGTCAGACTCGAGACAGACCTTCTTTGCTTTTGAGATGTAGCTTGGTAACAAAGATAGTTAACTGGTGTTAAAAGCGCCAGGTTTGTGGAGACTTCCACACTGATCACCTGTCTCTGTAGCGGACAGTAAGTTGGATGTCATAATGTCAGTTACCAGAGTTACCTCTTACAATCTACATTTTATAGTGAGCTCAGCAGTTCATTTCTGTAGTTCGATAATTTAGAAGTGTTAGAACTACATGAAGGCATGGTCCAAAGTGCTTCTGAATACAAGAGTTTATTAAGCATGCAGAGAGAGGAAGGGTGAGCAATTTCCTGCAGCTTTTTTTTTCTCCCCAAGTTCTGTATTGGTACTCCAGCGAATGGTTCTTATTAATTTAGTCTGTACCTGTATCTAGCCATTTTCTCTTAACTTCTCTCTGAAGACTTCTTCTTTCACCCAAGACCATCATGACTTCCTCTAATTTTCTAGAAATTTGAGTAATTCACTTTGAACCATTGTTCAATGTCTCTTAAATGGTAACTCTCTTTTTCATCTTAATAGTGTAATAAAATTAGAGCTTTCTTTATCTCTTTCCTTTTGTTCCCTTAAGCTCAGGGACGCAAAACAACTCATCTTAATCGAACTGATTTGTGTGACACTGGTGATTCCCTTTGTCTTTGTTACACCTCATGTATTTCATACATATAGGTGATTTTTTGCAGAAACTTAGTATTCATACAAACTGTTTGCTTCTCCAAATTACCTTTTCTTTGTGCCTCCCCCACCTCTGGGGGATTGCTCCTGGCAGTTGTGCACTGGAACTGAGTTAAATCAGGATGCGTTTTCTGTTTCCACTCTGTGCTGCTCATTCTCAGCCCTCGCTTCCTTGCAGTTTCCCTTTTAGTCATTCTACAGCCATGGTTGGTCACTACTTAATGAGTAGGAACCCTTTGAGTCCACTTAAATACAAAGAGCACTCCTCTATTCCAGGCATGCAGAACTGGGGGGAGCGTATTGATTAATTTGTTTCTGTTGAAGAGCTGGGAGTATTCAAATCAAATTTTATATGGTGATATGTATAGTTGCAAGCTTTGTGGTGCCTTGCCTCTCCCTAACTTAAGAAACCAATTTGTACATTAATTAGATCATGTTATTGTGACTGTGTTCTGGGTTAAACAGAAATACTTTGTGTCAAAACAGTGTCTTTGAAATAGTCACAGCCCTGCCTGCTTTCTTCAGGATGCCTGGAAAGAGAGGGTATGCTATGCTGAGAACAGTCCTGCCGCCTTTTGTTAATCCACCAGACAAGCCACAGAACCAAACTTTTACTTGAACGCTGCTATTCGCTGTGGCATTTGCTGCTTCTGAAGCTGGGTGTTGGCGTTTGGGCTGGCTGAATTCCTGTTGCAGCAGTGTTTTCTTCAGAAAGAGAGTAACTGCTGAAGGCTCCATTGATGAGAAGGCCTTTAGGCTATAATGGCTTACAAAGCAAGGTCAAATGCAGACCCCAAGGATTGTGCAAGATAAGTCCCAAGATTCTTGATCTATGACAATTAAGTTTGATGCAGAATGCTAAGTCACGTGCCTTCTGAACTGAGAGGAGACTGATCTGACTGTGTGCTTAGAAGGAGATAGTGTCGTTCTTCTCCAAAATGGGATACTTCCTGAAAAAAGTGGGCACCCTTCCAAAAACAAGGGTGGTCAGGTGACCCGTGGCTTCAATTTTTTCTGTTTTCAATTTCCCACTATATGTTTTTGTATGCTCTTGGATTATTTTAGTTTCCTGATGTGTATGCGCTGTCTTAACCACACTTAAGAATTCCTTTTTGCTGTCTTCAGAAAGTGTTTGTGCACTGAGCATGTGATTTATTCCTGGTTTTATTTGTGAGGGAATGTATGCGTGCTCTCACATGTCGGTGCTTTCTTGAGTTTTGAGTACAAGGGTGCTGAGCCGCAAGTATGACACAGTGTGGATCTAGAGACACGTGTTTGCACTCAATTACAGGTGTGCAATTTCTTTCCAGTTTGTGCTTCTCTCCAATTACGAGGAGGTCATTGGTCATCTTATTTGCTACACTAGTAGTAGCACCTGAGAATTACCAGCGTTGTAAGGCGTGATACGGGCACAGAGAAGCAGCTGCACCCTTGACGTTGCATTGAGTTTTTTATGTATATATTTGTTAGTATTGTAAACCTTTGGGCAATCTTTTGCATTCTTCAGTTTCCTTTTTCCTGTATTTGTCAGTTTGTTTGTTTCCTTTTTTTAAAACTGTTTTAATATTGTTAGTGGCAATTGACCTAACTTCTGACTTTGATGCCAAAACACCACCGATGTCAGAACGAGTTTAAGTGCCTCATACCGTGCAGTGTATGTAGTGCCTGTGGTACCCACTGTCGTTTTTTGAGAAGAAGCCTTATTGGCATTCACACACCTCCCTTACTCCCATTTTCTGGAAGGCTTGCCTTGTACAAATGTCATGCTCCTGCATTTTCCTGTCTCTTACCACTTCTTGCTCACTAATACTGGGATCAGATAAAATTTTTCTTTGCTGCACTTTGGAAATGACACTGGGTCTTTTAAACCACACGCATAGCAATAAAGTACTTGAACTGTAACTTAAGCTAGTGTTCTCCATTTCATTCATAGCCTATTAATGTCTTACTACTAGCAGCCTTAACTTTTTGGGTTTTGGTTTTTTTGTTTTTCTGGGTTGGGGGGTTGTTTTGTTCTGTTCTCATGTTGAAATGGCTCGGGCTTTGCTTATTCATCTTTTTTCTTAGTAGGTTCATACCAGGAGCATTTTTATTGATTAAAACTGAGATGGCGAAATGATTGGGGTTTATACAGCTGAATTTGCTAGGCTGTAATTACTAGATTTGAGTGACATTTGAAAAAAAGTTTGTTAAATTCCTGTTGTACAAGATGCTGAGACATTTGTTAATTTCTGTTACAATACGTCATCAGGAGTGGAGCAGAATTTTTTTTTTTTTTTTTTGCTTAAGAACATGTTCTGATGCTTCCTGCCTTTTCTCAGATGTTAGTAAACCAGTGTTTCAGCTGTCAGCATGTGTTCATTCTGAATGTCAACATACTGATTCTTTTTCTATGAATTTCTAATTTAGTTTCTTTTGGTTATGACCATTTCTTTAAAATATTCTGGCTGAGGTTACATGTTAGCCATTTATTTCATGACCACTTTAAATGATGGTAAAATGCCAAAAATATTTTATAAAAAATAAAAATCTGCTTTCATTTATTATCCTTTTTTAAAAAAAAAAAAAGACTTAAAGACATACATAGCTTTTGTAAATTAGACAGCTTTTCTGTAGTCATCTGGGAGAAAAGCTTATCTATTTTATCTCCATCCTTCTGCATTATTAAGAACAAACTTACTTTCCACTGTCTGACCTTGGTTGCTATGCATTGCGTGAACATGAAGATAGCTATAAAAGGCCAAATCCTTCTTTTAAAAATAGTAGATAGTGTTAAAATGTGATCTTATTGGCAGCTTTAAACATTGCCTTTCGGCGTAGCTGTCTGGGGACCTGGCTGTGCAGAGTTACTGATGGACAGATGTTGGTATTTAACTGTGTTAGGCCACGAGGGGCACTCATCCACATCATTTCACAGAGCAGCTTCAGGGGGGGCACGATTGTGCCGACGGCAAAAAGAGCAATTTGACGTTCTCTCAGACTAGAGATGCTTTATCTTCAATTAAAAAATGTATGCGCTTAATCCCCCGGTATATTAAAATTTAGTCTGGTTCTCAACATGTTTTTGTCCTCTAACAGTCAAGGTTAGGATTTTTTATTTTTCCTTAAATCTGTCCACTTGAAAATAATATTTGTGTGTATGTGGGAATCATAAGCAGAGTTAGTACTAATTATAGCTGAGGAGTGAGGAGAAGCCATACAGTTTATCCCTTTTTGTTTTGTGGCACCTCTTTAGACTTCACTCCGCCATTCTGAATGTTTTAAGAGGCTGGTGGGGAACAGAGCTGTCTGTTTTAACTCTGAGCAAAATATGTGCTAAAAAGTCTCTTTAAGAGAAATAATTTGTAACCCAGTTAATAATGGCTTATGTGTTAATAACACTTCATTTAAAACCTTTTGTAGCAGAAAATAAGATTCAAAGGATTTTTTTTGAGTGTTAATTTATTAAATCTATTCCTGTGCATAAGCCACTGTTGAAAATAAAATAAACAACAGGGTTGTTGAAAACCCGCAGGTTTCTTCTGCGGTGTATGTGAATGTGCACCAATTAGTGGAGGAATAACTTCTGCTTTGCACTTTCTAATGCATCTATATTTAAATAATTTAAATGATGCATAGGGATTACAACTGTTCATACTGATGCACCTTCAGCAGTTTTTGATAAAATGGAGGATGTATTTGGTTTGTAACTTAAATAATATTTTCTTTAAATGACAGAGAATTAAATGACCGTTATTTATATAATGATGCTAGTGAACTCTTATCTAGATATACCTGTGAATGCTGTCTTCAAAATGACTTTTATAAGGAGAATAAAATATATTGCCTCTTTCATATAACTTTTGAGGATTCCTAGCTTTTAATTACAACAGCAGCATTTTAAACTACTTTTGAAAAGCAGTTTTCCTTTGAAAGTGTATTTTAGTAGTAGCTGAGTTGCAGCTTTGGTTATCTCTACTGCAAAGATGAAGGTGAGTATTATTTCATTAATTTATATTGGCATTTGCTGGAGCTCATCTGTGTCCTGGCAGATTCTGTAGGACATACTTGTCTTTGCTGCCAAGTGATCCCTAATATTCAAAAGAAATGTGATCTGGTGGAAAGGAGGGTAGCCTTTTGTGTCACACTGTGTCCTCTGGTTTGGTAGCAGGAGGATGCATTGGCACAACAAGCCTTTGAAGAAGCTCGGCGAAGAACTCGTGAATTCGAGGATAGAGACAGGTCTCATCGGGAGGAAATGGAGGTGAGGGTTTCACAGCTGCTGTCAGTAACTGGTTAGTACTTTCCCAAAACTTTAGATTGTTTCCATTTATTTGTTTGTTTGTGCAATGTTGTGTATTTTCTGTTTGCTGTTGTCATATGAAAATTGCAATATGCATTGTTTTTTAACTCTCATAAAATGTATTTTAAGATTTTGAAGATAAGAATTCTCTGAATCGATCCTTTTTTCCTATCTGTAGATGGCCTTTTCTGTGGGTACTTAAGCTGTGAGGATACATTCATTCACAAAGCTGCCATCTCTCAAAGAATGCTTTAATAGCAGAAAGAGGGATCTTTTGACCAATACAGTTCTCATGAACACAGGAAAGGCTTCTAGAGCTGCGGGCACGTAATTTTGTAGCTCGCTATCGCACGTTGTGGGAAACCTTACCGGTGAATTTAATCAGATGCCACAGCCTGCTTTCTTGTATGGGCTAGTCTTATTTTCTTCTCACCTTTTTCTTACTGGCGGGGAGTCTTACTCTTCTTTCACTGCTGTAATTCCCCCTATCTTGTTCTTTGCTTCTTTAGGGCCCCACAGTCTTGAATCTTGTTCTTTCTTGATGAGAGCAGAAATTACTGGGATCAAGAAAAGAGGAGCCAGAAAAGGGAATGGAAACCAGCTGTTCTGAGATGTCAGGAAGGCAAGAGCTGTAAGAGGACGAGTAGTACATAAGGAGAGTTGGCAAGTTATGGCAGGCTGTAGGTCAGACAGAGAATAGGGAGAAAACAGAAACACTTTGAATTTCTTTCCCTTACTGTTTCCTACTTTCTGCTTATCAGTACAGCCTGACTTTACTATAATCAAATGTGATCAATCTGCTGCTTCTCAGGTTTTAGCAAATTTGATTATTGTTACTGCTAAGCTACTTTTCTCCTGGCATCCTTACTGGTAATTGAGACGATTAGACAGACTTTCTTCCCTTCCAAGTACAAATGGAACACTGAGCGTTAAGAACGAGAGGGGAAAGGCAGGTGCAGAGAATACTATCTCTCACTTTGGAGGGATGGCTGGCGTGCATCTCCTTACAAACACTGATGCCGGGTCAGATGTCGGCTGTGGCAGAGGTAAAATCGTTGCCTTGGAGGCCTTGCTACGGATACTTGGAGCAACAGCTAGATTACCTGGATCACTCTGTGTCACAGCATAGCTGGAACCTGCTTCTAAGTTCAGTTCAGAAGGAAGGTAGAATTAAAGCTGTTCAGGAAGATCTGTGACAACCTGCCTTAATTTGAGCAACACAGTAGGAACTTTTAAGCCCAGCCTTATGTCCTTGACCTCAATTTACTTCAAGCTTTTCTTGATTTATTTTCCTTTACTGTGCCCTTCTTCCCCACTCCTGTTACTACAGAGAAGCAGCTGTGTGCTTACTGAATGCTCAAGGTTAAAAAAGAATGAGGCTTCCTGAAATAACTTCTGGAGTTCTATGAGACTTATTCTTTCCCTCAAGTGTAGAAAACACTTATTTGCAGCTAGGATGCACAAAAACTCTTTCAATTAACAGTGAGATTGAGGTAACATCGAGCATCTGGGGCTTCATGACAGACATCAAAACTTGTGACACTGAGACACAGAAAGCAACATCCCTGACCAGCCGCAGGAGCTGGATTCAATAACTTCTGAAAAGACTCTTGCTTTTAATAAGGCAGCAGGCAGTTGTTATTAAATGATGTCCTTATTAGCTGCCAGTACCCATTTTCTCTTAAAACAACAATAGTCATTGTCCCAGCTCAAAAGCGCAGATGGAGATCACCTACAGAAAGGAAGAAAAGGAAAAATTACTGACTCAAAATATGTTTAAGCAGAATGAAAAACATTGTCAAAAGGTGCTTCAAATTTATGTGATGTCAAATACATGTTTTTAATAATTGCAATACATTTTGTTATGCATACTTTATTTCTTTTATTTTACTATTCATGTTTAATATGTACAACCAAGAGATCTTTGCCTCAATTACTTGTAGTTCTAGAATTGGTTTTTATGGTTCCGTTTTCATTTGTGTGTTTGGGGGAAGACGTCCTGGCCCCATATCTGGAATGTTTACAGATGAGCTTTTGCACTCTGAATCGTAGGACTGCGTAAAAATCAGGATCTTTTGGGGCAGGGCAGGGGAGAGAGTGGAGACAGTCTTACAATGCCTTCCTGAGGAGGAGTCGCGTTTCCAGGCATTCATCGTTTCCCTGGCTTTCACATCGGTTGTATTCTAATGCAGCATTCAGGCAGAATCAGATGAACTTTAATCAGTAAGCACTTATGATCATCATATAGATTTCTCAATAGAAAGTAATGCATAAATGTGCATTCCTCTGTGTGTTGTATTTATGGCCTGTATCGAATTTTCCAGTGCTCACATGCTTGGTCAGCTTGGAAATACGATTTCTCAGTTGTACCCTTCTGACGATTTCATTGTTGACAGCTATAAAAACATCAGTCCTAACTGAATTGTGTGCTGTTGGTGTGATTTCCATAGGCCAAATAGGATCTTCGGTTGCACTGCAGAGATGGTACTTGAAGGTTTTATAGGGCAGCTAGAAAAGGTGGGTTCTAAGTGTGCTGAGTGAATTTTTACGTGCGTTACACTACACACAGATGAAGATTCCCTCACCTTTCATCATTGCTAAAACTTAAAATTGTTCTTTCCTGCTAAGCTTTGGCATGGATAGTAAAACTCAGAATTGCCAGACCTGGAACAGGATCTCGTCAGTGCTAATGATTGTTTTGGGAATTGCGACACTGTATGAAATCAAGATATTTCAGACAGTGGAATTACAGCTGAAATAGTAGAATTACAGCTGAAATGCCTGTAATAGAGACCAGATTCTGCTTCAGGGAGGGAGGGGAGGGGAATCCTGCAATATTCCGCCCACTCCTACCCAAAACAGAGGCGCCACTCTTGGGGAAACATTTATCCATCCAAAGACTGGCAGCATATGAAAATGATCAGATTCCCTTCTTTATTTACACAGCTTTTTGTGCAGAAAAGGTTCCCTATCTAAGTCTCTCTGTGGACTTTTAAAACAGAGTGATGTATCCTTGCCTAGCAGTGATGAGCGAAGGCTGTTGAAAACAGTTAAAATGGCTCGTATGTGGCAGTTGGATGTTAGAATGGTAATACTTTGAAGGGGGGAAAAATTAGCAAGTGCAGTAACAATTTAGGAATAATCACTGTACTAATTTTCATTGTTAAGTATCCTTTAAAAAACCCAAACCCAACAATGAAAAACCCTTTCAGAGTGCTGTCAGGTTTGTTTGCCTGCCTTTCCTCACATAGCATCCCTTCCATTGATGACTTCGCTAGCATGACTTCATTTTAATGAGTATATTCTTTGCATCTAAGGGCAGAATTAGTAGTGCTTGGTAGGTTTTGCTTGACTTTCCGGACGTGATCATGTTTTTGTGCAGTTGCAGCATTCCCTTAATGTAAATAGAGTGTCAGTGGACTTAGGAATTTTCATTGAAGTTTTTAAGTGCCTCTGAGTTGAAATGCTGCTGTTACTTTTTTTTTTAACATAGTTTCAGTTTTGAACACAAGATGCTTTGGGGTTTTTCCCGTCAACTTATGGAGCTTGGTCACATCAGATACCACAAATCCTGCGTTGAAGTGATGTGTTCGAGTGTGCAGTTGGTCGCACTGTTATTCTTTAACTTAGCTAAAGATGTTCTACTGGTTGCTTTACCTAGGGATTGGTTGGATCTCCTCTCAGTTTTCCAACGCACTTTGTTCAACCGGCATTTTTTTTTTTAAAATGTCATATTTTTCTATTTTGTGTTCATTTCCCACGTTACTGCCATACTCTTTATTTTAGCAACACCGCGAGTAAAGAGGCTGAGTGGTTTGTTCTTCCCTGAAACAGTCTAGCCTACCAATCTGTCTGTTTGTGGTCTTGTGCTAAATATAAATTACATTAATGGCTAAGCAGAGCCATTTTAGGAAACTGCATGAAATTCCCATTTTAAAAACCTTCATTTTGCTGAAAAAAACCCCATGTTTTGCAACTTGGTTTATTCCACTAGAAATCCTTCTCGATACAAAGCACCAAAAAACCCCACCAACCCCACCACTGGAAAACTGCTAGAGTAAAAATCAGGTAAATTTTAAATAGTCGGTCCTGCCCTAGGTTTCTACACATTTTTGCTGTTTGTTGGGATTTTTGAGTTGAAACAGGAGAGATCCGTTTCATTTAATTGTGCCGAAGTTGTGAACTCTTAAAAATACCCCAAGATTTTGCTACAGAAATGTAAACAGTTCACAATTGAAACAAAATCAAGTAGTAGAACTAACTTTCCTATTCTTCTAAGGTTCTAGGCAGTGAAGTTATTCTCTCTTCTACCAAAAAAAAAAAAAAAAAGGAATTTAAGGTGAAATGACTAGTGTAAATAAATGTTCTAACTAATTATAAGTATTTTTGTCAAGTATAACTTCAGAAGAAAATATAATATTCCAATAAGAGGTTTGGGGTGTTTTTCCTTCTCATCAAACTCTCTGACTTTTAAGGGGTTTTTTCCTCAAAAATTAATCTGGAATGAATTTAATTACTACTTATTGTATGTATTCTCCAAACTGACAATGATACGAAATTAGATCACCTTTAATACAGCTTTTTGGATGTGAAAGTAACCCAAACTGTTAATTCTTCATATGCAAGTGAGTAGTGCAGACTTGCTATATGCTTGTGTGTGTATATATGAGCATATATATATATGATTTGTTTCTATTCAGGATGAATACAGTATAATTTAGAAAAAGGCATTAAGTATGTGTGTGAACGTGCATTGCCTCAAAAGGCTCTACAATGTGAGTGCAGTACAAGTAAGTCGGTAATGTTATGACTAGACTGCTTCACAAGAACTTTAGCTGGTATTTGTGTGAAAGTGCTATGGAATGCATATCTCAGAAAAACAATTTGTGCTGTACAGAATCAATGCTGACTAGTACAGAGGAGATCAATCTTGCAAATCGGGGAATACTGTAATATAAGCG